AACAGTCATTATATTAGACTAGTATGAAATGTTTGTCAAGCTGATATGCTGATAAATACTCAAAAATCAGTCATTACTTGCATAAAAAAATTATTATTTCACGGGTTAGGGGTGGCGGGAATGGTACACGAAGGATGGATTTCTTGTAATAACATGAGTCCTTATTATGTCACGGCGTTCGTCGGAAAACTTTTGTATATACTACAAAAACACTTGTCAAAAATGGTAATTTTTATTTTTAACAAGTGAGTTTTAGGTACCAAATTTAACTTTAATGATCATCTTGTATTTTATATTGAATATCTTTTAGGAGCGTTTGCGATAGAAAAGGCTTATTATTCATTGCAGTTTTAAAGAACATTTAGTAAATATCCAATCTTTCTGCAGTAGCGAATAATTATCAGCAAAAAATGCAGTAGTCTATGCACTACTATATCTAAATTCAATGAGGTGAAGTCATCTTCAGGAATTCAACTTAGTTTCAAATTAGTTCTTGAAACATACTACAAGATGTAAGGCAAGCTTTATCATTAAAATTTAATTTAGAACTTTAAACTCACTTGTTAAAGGAGTAGGAAAGGTGGGAGGCCATATGTGGTTACTAGTGTGTTTGGTGAGTAGTAGGCAAAGTGTTTCGGCGGAACTGCCATAAAAGTTAGTCAGCGACGAGTGGCCCTGACAGAGTTAAATAAGGGTATCGAGTTCCGGGTTCCCGTGTACGTTGGAGAAGTCTCCGCCTTCTATTACCCTGTCAAAGCAGAGTCTTCATAATGTTTGTTGGCTGGTTAGTGTGTTGGTTGGTATCTTCATGAAGGTGTAGAGAGTATGGGCTGTGTGGATGGTACGTTGTTTTCCGTGTTTGTCTCTGGTTGTGGTTTAGTTGTGGGGTGAGGGTGGGGGATAGTTTTGACTCATCTTGGAGATATGAGGGTTTAATGGTTTCCAAGTTCACGTGCTATGTAGAGAGGTTCATGCACAGGACGTTAAAGGTGAGTATCAATAATAGGGATTACTTATAATTAATTATTATTATATAAAGTCCGATATACGTTCGTGTAGTTTGCGGTATTATACAATTTTTGACTAATGAGCCAGAGAATATGATGCGATACTCACGGGCAGATGACATATTCACCGAGGAGATGGCCGAGGTCAATATGACTTTCTGCAGGTGAATTTCACTTCATATTCATTGGCTCACTAGTCATAATTGTTTTATTACATGAAAAAGCTAAACAATTTTTAAAAAATCCCAAAAAGTACAACCTTTTATACATGTAAAAATGTTGTAACGTTGAGGCGCGGGAAAGACGACGCACGTGTTAGGCGTATAACGGCTACGCGAATGCTGCGCATACAAAGGTAAGTTTATACTCATCATGCGGTGTAGCCTTTAAGTATAAAAGTAAAGTAATAATATTTTAATCGAGAAATATGACATGAAGAACAAAACGCAACAATTGTTTTTTTTAATTAGCACGCGTAATAACAGTCTACAGTGTATGTTCATTGTCTATGAGTCTCAATCTATTTTAAGACAGAGAAAATCCAATTCAGCCAGTGAATATGATATTATACCCAGTGAAAATGATTTTATGTAAGAGTTTTGTTGACTTCTTTTTTGGACCAATGAGATTGCAGCTATATTTAGATCACATCACAATGGATACTAATACGAAGATTAAACTTACGTTCTTCTTTGAGGGCCTGCAATATTTGAATAATATTTTTAAAAAATGACGATAATATGTTAGAAATTGATATATAATTTACACATGTTTATATAAAGATTTTTAAAACTTTTAATAAAATAGAAAGGAATTCCTAAAATTGCATACAGTATAAAACTGAAATAAAGTATGTTATTAAAATTGATATACATAATATGAGTACTACACGAAAATGTTTACCTTTGATATGGACCGACTAAAGTGCGATAGTGTAACAATCAAAATATCCTTCTTTTGACAGCCTTTCTTCACAACGGACACCCCTGTAAAAAGCCATTTGCTTTCAATTTTGCAAAAGACTGGCGCTCCGTTATCACTCTGAAATACCAAGCAGTCAGATCGTACAAAATGGTAACATTTACTTGTGCTACTATGATGAAAGATGTGTTTCTGTTTGTCAGAAAATGTATATATTACATCACTACAGTATCTTTAAACATATTTATCAATTCACCAAATAAATACAAATAATCAAAAGAAAGCAAATAAAAAAACAACAACAACAACAAACAAAAAACAATTTAAAACGTCAATGTTCATACCTGACATACATCTGCGCCATTTACAGTATCAAAGCGTAAATTCTTCTTGCATGCTTGACCAGAACATTTCTTTGGTGAATTTGCGTCGACTTTT